AAGCTTGGGGGAACGTCTGCATGGCATTAACATTTGGAGTTGGTTCGTAAATATGTACCAAACGAGTGAGTCACTTTATTATTCAGATAATAATGATAAATTAGTGAATTCGACTTAAAATTGTATTTTCTAATTTATAGCCGAAAAAAATATAAGAATTATATTTTATAATATCTGAATTATTGTATACAATAAATAGATTCACTATTGATAAATATTTTTATCCTGATAAATTGGATAAAGTTAATTGTTAATAATAAATTGAATAAAAGCGAATTTTGTAGAAGCTAGCTGGACGTAAAGAAATATTTAAAGTCATGAACAATCATTATACAATATTGTGTTTACGTAGTAAAATATCAGACTCACTTAACATCCTGAAGCAGATGAATACTGTGTACTGTCTCTAATTCCACGACCTCTTTCAGCGTAGACATGCTCTTGTCAGCGTAGAACGATAATTTCCGATCGAGCAACACTGCTGCTCTCGGCACGAGGTCCTTGGCCCTCTCAATACCCATTCCAGTCCTCCCACAGGAAAATAACGATATTTATTATTTCTAATTATAATACTCCAATCAATGCGGTCACTCAGTTTAAACGAACGATTGTTTAAACGTTAAAGTTAATCGCAATCGATTACTAAACGGAATCATTGAAATTTTTTTCTTCTATAATCTTTATTTTATAAATTTGTACTTTCTTTTAAGAATTTCTAAAAAAAAAATGTTTAATAATAATTTTTAATGCATAATCTTTTAAATTTGTAAATCAAGAAAATTTTCATTGAATTATTAGAAACAATTAAATTAGTCAATGATTTTTACCGTTCGATTTGTCAGCTTTGTAAAAAAAATTTCGGAGGACTCCATGAAATATATTTCTCGCACAAGTTCATATTACCTCTTACCTATATACTATTCCCCTATGTGTGACCGGATTGTGCGGAACGTTCACCTTCGGCCTCTCCATTCGCAGTGACCTCGGGCCGGATTCACCGATATGTTCGCGAGTCCTGGCTAACAGTTTACTACCACTCTTAACAAAACTGATCACATTAGGCTTGATAGCGTGCACCGTGGACTCCTGTCGCAGTTTCTTTAATTTTTGTATCACGCTCACTTTACGGTTGTCCTCGGCGAGCCTCGGTGTCGCCGAAGAAGAATTGGTAACATTCTCCTCGTCATTATTGGCAAGTGTCGTTGCTGTCACAGTCATACTCGCATTTGGTTGAGGAAGCGGAGGACCCTTCATAGAAGGCTTCCTGGGAGGAACAGCCGGCTGCTTTTTGGTCACCAAATGCGCCAGCTTTGGCAAGAGAGGCGGATTTTTGTTCGAAACTTGGACCGTATCTGGTTGTTCCACACCTTCTGCCACGTCATACTCGTTTTTGGGAAGGGAATCAAATCTCTTGGGTGGCTCCGGAGGTGTGATACCAGAATGTATCAATTCTTCGTCCTCTTGCTCCTCTTCGGCACTCTCACGAAATTCCAACGTACTATCGGCACTACTAGGCAAATCGTTGGTAGCCAACAAAGTCTCGAGCAACATCAAATCGTTGTTCTCGTAATTGCTATAAACGTTTTCCTCTTCGGAAGTCTTCGCGAATGGATCGAACTCAAAAAGTACAGACTTGCTGCTTTGTACTCTGGTGTCCGAAGGACTCGTCGTCGGTTCTTGTCGACAATCGGCTTTCGGCGGCGATAGATTCTCATAGAGAGAATTTTGAATGGAAGCTTGGCTTTCGAAGGACGCACAAGAAGTTCGATCTACTGGCGAAATTTTCCTCTCGAAGGATTTCTCCAAGCTTTCTTCTTCTACGTTGGATATCCTATCCGCTTCATCGATATTCTCAGCTTTCGTGCCTGGTGTAGCATCATAAAAAGTCCAAGAATCCGATCTTGATAGCCTTTTGGTAGACGTTTCAGATTTGTCGAGCGATAGACTTGCGTTGACATCAGACAAGTTCAGACTTTGGTCGGAATCACTAGCCTGTTTGAAGAAGATGGATTTAAGAAGGGTAAGATTCACACATTTGTTTGTCAATATAATGCGACAATAATTCCAACGCTTAAAAATAAAACTGATCATATTGAGAATAACAAATCAGAATATAATAATAGTAATATGTTTTATTGCAGAATTATATGAAGAGTAAAGAGTGTGATCTGATTTTACCTGATTTCGCGAGAACCCGAGGACATTGAAGTCGGGAAAATCTCGCTCGATCTTGTCGGACACCGTAGAACTGAGTGTGTCGTATCGGCTGCTACTTCCCGACGTGACGGATTGCAATTCGTCGTAGATAGATTCGTCCGGAAGCGGGGGTGGCGGATAAACCGGAGGCGGCGGGCTGTGTCTGCCACCGGTGGATAGATCCTCCTCATTCTTCACGCTCCTCAGATTCCCGCTCAAAGGACTATAAAATGAGATGCTGCTGAAGATGTTGTCGGCCGGCATGGACACGCATCTATCCTCCTCAACTGGATCTTTGAGTTTCTTCTGGACACCGCCTTGGCTGACTACGTCGTCCTGATTCAAAGATGATAGTCGCCGAGTCAACAAATTCTTTACCGACTTCTCCAGCCGAATACTGGCGTTTCGCGTGCTGGAAATAACGGCACGTCCCTTCACCGTCATCTTCTCTGAGATCTCATCCTTCAATTGACGCGAGCTCGTACTGAGGCTGCGGAAAAACTCGTGGTTGCCGCGACTATTTTCGCTGGTGCTACTGGTTGATCTTAAATCGTCGCTCTTCTCGGATTGACTCGATTCGCTGGTTGGACTGCTAGAATGAGTCGATGGCAAGGTGGTCATCGGCAAGAGTCTTCGGGGCGCCGGTATCGGTCTGCTCTCAGTTATGACTGATCGCGGCTTTGGTATCGGCTTCACCTCCATCATGGAGATTGATTCTTCCACAGTAATGTCACTCTATAGTAAGATAATTTTAGATCTTCTCTGATGTTAACCCATTGATTCTAAGACATATAAAAGTTCCTCTAATTCTTCATAGTTCGAATTAGTGCAAGCTTAAGTTGAAAATTTATTTTCTTTCAATTTATCAGAGTGCCTAAATATATTTAAAGTAATATATAGAATAACAATTGAATAATTCGATTGTTCAGCTAATAGTAATGTTAAAAGCGGACAACTCCAATTTTTATAATTTTTTTTTTTCCTTCTATTATCACGAGTTCTAATTCTCGTAAAAGAGATGCGCTTTCTAGAACTTCTTCAATGAAAAATGTGTTTTCCTAGTGCCGCTATCAACCAGGCCTATTATTTGTTTTCAGGTTTAATCAAATTGTTATTTCTCCGTACTGAGCGCGTGACAAAACAAACGAGCGACGCAAACAGAAAGGAAATTATGAATTGTCCCAGTGTGAGTCATCGTTCCGAAAGCCGATACTGTCGCCCATAGTTTCCGGCTAGTATTTCAACTGACCGACGAGTGAATATCACATCTATCATTCCATATTTGTACTTTAACTCTTGCGCCAGACATCGAGCATTATCGCATCTTGCCCCTATCACCTTCGGTAGCACTTCAAACGTAAGTATGCATTTGTGTGGGGAACGTTACATAAAAATGGATTCTCCAAGCAACTCAAATGTATATAAGTGTCGGGGCAAAGCAATAAGTCGCGATAACGTTAAAAAGACACTTAAAGCGAATTGTAACTGCTATTTTGACATCATATTGATGTCATAATAATTTGTGTTCTGCTTGGGTACGTTTAAAATACAGAGTTTTCACGCTGATATTGTGTTATATATATTATTTATCTTCTTTTTGTTTTTCTCTCGTTTAAATATTACGAAAACTGAGAAAAGAGGAGAGACTGAGAATGCAGAGGAAGATGCGGAAATACGTGCAGTCATGAAAAACATCTATCATGGAATAAAGAAGTGACGTTATCCGGATGCGCTGTTCCAATAAAAATTATGATTCACGGTCACATGATCATCAAATCTACCAGTTTCTCGAATTCTTCGTGAAATTTATAGTACTAACTTATCTTTTAACCTTATCTTTAAAAGGTCTACATTTCTTCGAGATAAGAAAGCACGAATTTCAAGTAGAAAGAAAAAAGTGTTAAAGCAACGAACAACCGATTAAGGTAACGATAATTTTCTAAATATCAAATAAATTTCTTCTAACTGTAACTGATGTTACATGTCATGCAATTTTTACAGCCATTTTAGGTGGGTAATAAATTATATAATTACCACAAGGCAATGTTTGTCAGATATCAGTCCGTCTATTTCAGATACGTAGTTCATTATGAAACATCTAGAAAGCATTGCATTGATGTGTAAATAACAACGCATCATGTGAGCTCCGCAATGAAACTCTAGCGAACGCGACAGTTTGCGCACACGCTATCAGTAATTATTATTCTCACACCAGAAACACCTGTTTTCATGCTTTGCCGACGAGAAATTTATGTTGATGTTTTTCTATGCGAATTGAAGCTAATTCAATGAAATAAAAATAAGATTCTTTAGGTAATGTATGTTTTGTAGCGTCGCGCGTTCAAAAATTACATTACATATTCCTTTTATCAGAATGGAACATATTCATTTTATCAGAAACACAATCAGTGTTTTCAAGAATCATAGTGCAGATAATTCTGTTGTTTGTCTGTCAGCGACACAGGTCAAAAACCTACCTCGTCGTTACTGTCACGGTACCGGTTGTCCCTTCCTGCGGCTCTTCCTTTTCACGAATCACCGCTCCCGTTTATATTAGCAGTAAGTCCACTATCTAAAATTACAACATTTCATTTCTTCTTCGTAAAAGTTTCTTTCGCGCTTAAAGCTATGCGGGTTCCATATTTCCGGATCGTTCATCTAAATTCCGTCCATGATGTGGGTTCACTATTTCTTTTCATTAACACGTGACTCATTACTCGTGCACTCACTCGCATACATAAATATTACGTACATTATCTGCAAGTTTTTACAATTCGTATTTATTCATACAAATACAGCGCATTTACACGAATGAATCATAAATGGTAATGAATACAATGAAGTAATAATACTTTTTTTTTTTTTCTACAATTGTAAGAGTAAATGGTGAATTTTTCTTGAAGATAGAAAAACATTTGATAATTGATGCCAGTGATTATTCTTGTAAACGATATACATTGGCTGCTTTTTTAATATATAAAATTTTAACGTCAAAATTTTTCCTTTCAGGTCGAAAAACGAATTTCTATGAGAAATGCGAGCCTAGTACGCGCCGACCGAGAGGATTAATGAGTTAAAGAGACACTTTGCGCGCGCGGCAACGAGCGGAGAAAGACGCGCGCGGGTGCTTCAACGTACATATACGTTGATGGGCACAGATATACACAAACACAATGAGCGAACTGTAGATTTCACAGTTTGCGAGCGCAGGCCTTCGCCTTTCTCCTCGTGGCAGCCCGACGGTTTTGGAGTATATTTTTATAAAGTGCTTTTCGAACTCCGATACTCGATTGCGTTTTACCAAGTCCGAATTTTGATTTTTGTGTAGAATTGCCTAACATGTATATACGTAAAGATAAAGTCGACATGAGAAACGATAAGATAAACGGGCTGAGCGTCACGTTCTCGCCCACCCGACGGCACAGCTCGTGCCTTTGCACTGACGCGGCTCCACTCTTCGTATAGTCTCCGTTGCTCATACATCTATAGTTGTTGCTCCTCTCGGTGGTGGAAAGAAACCGGAGAAGGGGAACAGGCCAACGCCATCGACACCAATTTCAACGGCCACCAATGCAACTGCACATGGAATGTGTTATTCATTTTGTAGCTAAACTACTTTATTCATAAAGTCGTATAATGCAGAACGCGAAAATCCGCGAATTAATTGAATAGATTGCGTTATTCGATGTTGTGGAAGTCAGATGTTCGCTACTCTTGCAAATTTGCTTCAAAAAAATTAAAAAAAAAAAAAAAGAAAAACCATTGTGCGATATGAATTACCATCTACCTGCGTTCTCTCTCTTTTTTATTAATGATCTCTTTTTTATTAATAATCTCAATACTTTTACCGATATTGATAAGAATGTTTTTCTGACTCTTTGAATTCTGATATAACTGACTCGCAAGGCACTACACATATGATATGAAGAATATAATACCATAGATATTTTTATAGCGATGTTTTAATATTACTGCAACATTGAAAATGACTCGAGCGGAGTCAAAACGTTTATTTTGTCGTTTTGTAATTTATGATTGAATTTTAATTTAATTAAAGTTTGTTACTACATTACTGGCTCTTTGCCCTTCTTTTGCATATATTTGTTTTATACTTACAGAGCCTTATTATTATTTATTAATTGAATAGATATAGAATCTCACATTAAAAGATTATATAAAATAATTAAATTTTTTTTTATGATATATTGGTCTGTGAATAATTCATGCTTTTGAATATTTAATTCTATAAGATTAATTTTATATATATATATATCTTACTTAATAAAGTAAAAATATTTAATTTACAGATCCAGCGTCAAATACTGTGAATCATTTCAACTGATATTTAACTTAAAGGAAAAAGAAGTAATAACTGCACGTGCCATGTAAAGTACAGAAATTTAATAAAATGGTAGACGAGGAGAAGTATTGTCCTACGAAGAATATTTTAATGAAACCTTTATTAAGATTTTTATCATGCCAAAGACAAATGACGACTTTGGCTATACAAACAGGTAAACGTTTTCCCGGCGAGAGTCCTCCATGCAGGTGCAAATTATACAAATATATTGCTATGGAATTTTACAGATTAATATTAAAAAACGCAATAAAATTGCATAGACAAATTTGATATCACAGAATAACAATACAAAGAAAATGCTTATTTATGTATATGCTTACTAAGTTGTTAAATCATATTTTTACTTATAAAAATATAATTTCTTCTTTCTAAATGGCAACTTATTTTACATGACTATATAAGTACCATACTACTTTCAATTATGATATTTAATTAGATATTTTATTAAATTAATACGATTTTAACATGTAATTGAAATGTAGCATCATCAATTACACCTGCATTATCAAGCGACTTGTGCACGGGTATCTCTACTATCTTAAATCACAATGGTGACGACAAGTTTAACTATTTCGTTAATTAGTTCCTTAAGATTGATCGTTACATATAAGCAGATACGCACGCACGAACACACGTTTTAGCAGCCGTATACATAAAAACGCGTGATGAAACGATTCGATGACTGCCGATGATGTTCTTGGCGAATATTCAATGACAATATTGCATCACGAATTGAAAAAGTAATTAGAATTGTCAATAAATCTTGGGATTGTAATTAAAATAGACGATAATTATAATGAATATTTCTTTTAATTTTAACCAAAATTATCTTTGCTATGGAATGATTAAAAAGGAAATCAAAACAAATCGGGAATAAATAAATGGAAAGAAGATTTATATAATTTTACGAAATTAAAAATATTTACTGCAAGATTATATTTTTGCGAACAACGCGCGGTGATTTCTAGCTGTCTAAAGATCATCGGTATTCACTATCGAGAATCACACGAGAAAATTATATTCCCGCAGAGCGACTCGCTTTTATTATATAATTCTCCTTACCGTCGTAAGATTAATTTACCACGATCGATTTTAGAGTTGATCGCGCAAACCCGTAAAGAGTACCTACGTTTTCGGCGTGACGTCGAATGCTTAGGCCATAAAATCGTAAAAAAATATTCAAGCGCGAGTTCGTAGGCGAGTATTTGGTATGGACTGCCTCTGATTTTATTTTCTTTTTTTTTTTGTTCCTTCGAGGGGTCGAGGCAAAAATTGGAACGCGCGTTTACTTTCGTATACTTTACAGAAAAGAGTGAGATCGCTCGCGGTTTCCAGTCCAATCGGAATCGTGAGTGCGTGCGTTGCGTAACGGCCATGTTTTTTTTTTTTTTCGTTTTTAATTTATAAAGAGGAACGATCGACGGAATATCTACTATTACGTTGGAACACAGAGAGACAATCGTTAAACAATGCGATCAGCCCTGAACCGATAACGCAATTTTGCGTAAAATCTTATGATGGAAATCAGCAAACTATGTAATCCTGTTTCTACACATTTATATATTTTTGAATAATCTATGGAAGAATAATCTATGGTCAAATTACATATGGTCATAATTAAATCATTTTCAACTAATTGAGCAGTGATTTCTCGCTTATTTTTTTAATGAATTGGTCCATGTACAACAAAAATATGTTTTTTTTTGTAATTGAACATTCTTAATTGACAGAGAGATCATAGAAACCAACGTTTTGCGAAATTTATCGGATAAGGGCTGAAATAAATGACTCACAATCCTCCTCTCTTCGCTTTTATCCAAATTAATAATAGCTTTTTGACACCCCGTACCAATCTATTTTGCAAATAAAAAAATATCTGATTTCTATTAGAAACCCTAATTATATTGATAAATATATTTATGTGAAGAAAATAATAGCAAATTTTTAAGTTATCAAATTCATGAAATATAGCTTTCAAATCTGTAATATTACAGATTATTACAATCTTAGCGTAGGCGAAGCGTATCAAATTAAAAATTGATATTTTATATATATATATATAGTAATAAGATTTTAATAATTAATCCGGTCATGGCGACGGATACGAGGCATCGTGAATCTGCCATGTAATTCGAAATCGTCGAACTACAGTAATAGTTCTTCGAAATCGTTCACGACTGTAATATGTGATTCAAGAGCATAGGATAAAGAGACAGTGAGAGAGAGAAAGACAATGACATAGAAAGTTTAAGAGATTAATTCGAGGAAAAAATCTTTAGGCACACTCACACACATACACGTACATTTATATAATTATATATTTGTGTGTATATATTATGCGTAGAGCGCAAGAGTCTTTATTTTTTGGTAAGCAAAACGTGGCTTCGCACTTTTATTCGAATTCCTGCCAGAGTCAGCAAGGGTGACGTGATTTGTTCCTTTTTTAATTCTTTGCGCTTGAACATTATTTACAGAAGAGTAAAACTGAAAAAATAATTAAATGTGTAAATAAAAATCTATATAATTTGTAAAAATATAAAATCATATCAATATATTACTTATATTTTTTCTTGACTTATTGTTAGATAATTGTTAGTGCTCTCGATTTATTACAAAATATCATTTACTCCCTGTAAAACTTCTAAAATTTGATATAAACAATGACATTAAAAAAAAAAAAGATTGAATTAGCGCAAAGAATTAATCTATAAAAATTACACATCTATTTTTCGTATTAATTCCGATCAGATTTCGACAATGTCGATTTTCTAATCGCTTTGTACTTGCTCAGCCGATCAATATATTGCAGAAAAAATGTCATAATGCGAATATTCAGATCACCCTCGTAACGCCACCACCCCTCAGTACATGGACTCTTAAAATTGCTTATTTTTCTTTGTTCTTCGTACATTTTCGCGCAGTAGTTAGTTAATTATAATGTAATCGTTATGTCATAATTTAATAGCAAATATATTATCACATTTAGATTGTATTAATTTTTAAGATGACCGACCGGACGTTCCTCAACGAAGTTTTCGTCGTCTCGCAACTTTTGTACCGAATAAAAAAGTCTATTAATGCCCAATCATTTTACATTATATTTTTCAGTATTTAGTTTTTTTTTTTTCTATAACAGGAGTAACGGCAACTATAATCACTTACGAATACAAATGAAAATACTGCGAAGCTCCATTTGGAATACGTTACTTTCGATAAAATGTGACACCAGTTTCAAGCAACCGCACTGTCATCAAAAGGTTAATAACTTTGCATTGAAACACTTGACCCCTCTCATTCTTTTTATCCTTTCGACGCCATTGATAAGATCTCGCGATGACGTGAACGCTTGCTTTGTTTCGCAGATTCCGACAATGAACTTTGAAGAGAGCACGAACGACGGCATTCGTCGTAGACACGTCCGTTCGGTATGTTAGATTTAAATCTAAGAAACATTAATATAGAATATATTATATATCGTGTAGTTTATATAAGGTATACGTTAAGACACTTACTGCTACAGCAAAAATTCAACAGTTAAAAGATTGTAACAACTAGTTCACGCTCACGTCGAACGCAGAAACGAACGATCAGACGGAAATCCCTACGTTTGCGAACTTTTGCGAAAATCGCGATTTTCGGTGAATCTTTGAGAGGAAAAGAAATCTTACAAAAAAGGTTTCTTAAAAATGATTTAAAAATAATGCAGCTAAAAGTAAAATGATATCCAAGTTTTGAGATAAAAATGCTCTAAGGTATTTCTCTCTCTCTCTCTCTCTCTCTCTCTCTCTCTCTCTCTTTGTAGATTAGATAAATAAAAGCCAAAGATTCGGTTTGGAATGTAAGGAATTGAGCCGCGCGATTTTTCGCAAACGAAGAAGATCGTACGTTTCACATCCGAAGCAGCTTACACCCCCCTCGCGCGTCTTCCTTCCACAGAACTTCGTTCATCCCTTTATAACTGGGATCACTTTGGCACGAATTAATTTTCTTTTTGTCCATAGTATCGGCACGGCGCCGCTGCTTATCAGTTATGAGCTCGTAATTATAATAATGCGAATAAATCTCGGTAGCACCTGAGACTGATCGCTCGGACGATACGATAAAATGAGGTGTTCTCGTTAGGGCGCGCACGCTCATCGGGAAAACTACATTTCCGCAAAACTACTACGAGAAACGTCAAAAAGACGTGTCAGCCGCGCGAAATTTCCCGCCGATTTCGCAAATCCTTCGTCTTCGGAACTTTCCTTTATCCCTATTACATATATAGATTCTTCGCGACGGTTTTCCTGACGTACGGAACGCTTTATTCGAGTTGTGCTATGACTTTTGACCGAAATAAAAAATAAATAATTACTCCACAAGTAAATACTAACGGCGGACGGAGCCAGTCACGCTAATTGCGGACGTGTAATTAACAAGAAACTTCCTTCATTACGGGTACGTAAATTATGCGCGTCGCGGCGCACACCAATAAACCTATTTCGTGATATAAATATTCTGAATGTGCTAATGCGCTCGACATATCTTTGAAACAACGTGTAGATATGCGCGGAAGAAATAGAAAAAGTAAGTCATCCTATTCGGTAGCCAAGGTTAAAGGCTTTGTGTAAAATCATGCATATAAAAAGTCGCATTGAGAAACCCGTTATTGTATCGCACGGTAAATGCGATTTACAAATGTAAAATATACATATATCAAAAAACAAAGTAGCACGTAAAGTTATACCGGGGTGTATAACTCATGATTTTCGGCATAGTCGAGTGAATATACGCGCATATCCGGTAATACACATTATGTTAAACAGTTAAATCATTTGCTTTCGGATGAACGCGGGCCTACATCATTAATGTAATCCGGAATAAATGTTTTTTTCTTTTCTTTTTTTTACCAACTTCCACGCATAATCGTAATCATCTTGGCTACTATAGTAGTCATCCGTATACCTAAAAGATAAAATATAATTTAATATTTAATATATATATATATAATTATGTAATATAATTAATTAAAATCTAAATCACATTCGCTCGTAATTGTGGCTTATTTCAAAATTTATGCTACTTGGCACGGAATGAGTGCTACGTTACTCGCGGTATTTCTAGCGAAGATAATACTGACAATGATAATGTGTAATGAGTTGAAAAAATTCACTCGCAGTAACAAGTCCAGTTTGGAAAAGAAAACTTACTTAATGTTCGACACAAATGCAATGTGTTTGAAGCGTTAAAATGTGCCGGGGAAGTGAAACTTTATGCCGAGCAGCTTCGATTTCGCATCATCGTATACCTTGTAGTTTAGCATAGTGTTGTATAGTAATGGCTATAGTGTCTATGTAGTAGAACGATATTCTCCGCAAGAATGTCATTTTCGATGAGACGACAAATCATCGTGGCGTGATGCACGAATCCTCTCGTGTGTCACTTCACGTGAGTCGCCGTTAAAAATCGTTTATCGACTACAACGTATTTATATAATACATTAAAAATTGACACATATTTCTGTTACAATCGATCTCATTCGCTTTCTCTCCCCTGACACGAGCAATCGATCGTCGGGAATGGTCTTGGATCCTAAAGAGAGAAACACTTATGAGAGACACTTGTATCGATAGCGAACAGATGTATCCAACGAGCTTGAATTTTGCAGATAATTACAATTGTACTCTTTTTTTTAATGTAATATACATTATTTAGAGCAAATGTAGCAATTTAATATAATCTTAGATAAAATATAATGGAGATATATAATGGAAAATGTGACTACAAGAGTTCTATGGAGATGTCTTGGATCACCATCTGCAAAATAAAACACGTTAAGCTTCATCTCGCGTTATACGATACACTGTATCTATCATTATAATGCTTGCATAATCATAATAGTATATCGTTCTTTTATTATTGTATTATTAGTCCGTAATAGATGAACCAATGAAGATTCGATAATGGCAACTCAAGCAACGATATTACGTTCGTGTTAAGTACTTAACAATTATACTTGTAGTGACGATTCGTGCAGCGCGAGCGAACTATACATATATTAGACACGTTAAAACGAATCTTCGTAAAATAGCACCTTTCCATCCCGGCCGGGGTTCTCGCGACATGTCGTGTCGTGACCCGGTGCTTTTATTGATCTCATTAACCGTTGGCCTGATTCGATCGAGTCTCGTGCATCCGCCTCGATATACACGCAAGTATCATGAGCTCTTGCTCGATTATGTTCAAGTGCACAATAATTGATCGTTGTTTCCTCCTATATGATACTAAAAATAAAATTTTCATCTCGGATTCGAATAATAAAGTTAATAAATAAGCTTCAAGCAAGTATTGACACAAAATCAAATTAAGATTATACAATAGATAAACTTGAATAATTAAAATTGCAGCAAATTTGACAAAAATTAATTTTAAAGACAGCAATAATAATTAATGGCCAATAGTTAATGAGACACAATAAAGAGTCACGTTTAAAACGAGAATCTCCGGAACAGTACAGAGTTGCAGTCTTAAACTTTGCTGAATTGTAATTTCTTCTTTTTCTTTTTTTTTTTTTTAGTCACGGCGGTCAGTGCGGAAAGAGCGCAAAAGAGATGGACGTCACGTTGCGCCGTGAATTCGTTTCTACTTTCAGTCTTTCTCCGCGAGCCAATCTACGATTCTAGCACCATTTTGCAGCTTTCCCCGTTCGTCGTCAACAATCGACGTGAACGGGCGATCTAACGATCGTCATACTTCATTGAATCGACGTAATGTAACACTTGGACGTTTACATAGCTAATACAAGATCTCGTTAGAATTCAAAGGTTACATTAAATTATCGACGTTAAATTATCGCATGCAATAATCTATACGATTCCTAACGTCTAAGGGAGGAAGCCTTGTCGATGCTGATTTGGGAAACAATCTATTCCGAAATTTGTTCTTCCCGGATGGACTTCATTTTTCTATCGATATCAATTTCGTAAATTATTTTTAATCTCTGTTCCTAGCTTATCATTTAAATTGCTTTTTTTTTCCCCATGAAATTATGAATAATTCTCAATTTTTCTTTAAAAGTTAGGTTTAATTTTCACTTGATTGCAATTCTCCTTCGTTTGTCTGCCAAGTTCAGCACTTGTGTACAAGTCTCCCTGTAAATTCTAATATATCTAGATCGCAGTATTGACAAAACGAGGACGTATAAAGGACAGGCGAGTCCCAGATTTCTGTTTCCGCAGGTCTCTCAAAGCCGTTGCTCTTTTTCTTTGTTCGTCGAGAGCGTTTTCGCTAGTTGGTCGCGTCCGGATTTGAAGACGGCGAGGATGCCGGGCTCTGCACCAGGTCGACGTCAGTAGTGTCCCTCGAGGAGGCCAACAGCGAGGGAGTTATCAGCATGCCGCGCGGACTGAAGGTGTCGCAATAGAGATTCTCCTTTTTGTGTACTCGTCGTACGTGGCTGCGTAGATTGTCGCGACGTGCGCTGCGATAGGCGCAGTGCGGGCACAAATGTGGCTTCTCACCCGTGTGCATGCGACGATGCTGTATCAGCTGTAAAGTATAAAAATACGGCGTACAATTAACATTGTCAATTTTCTTAATATTTACCTTCATATATACCTACTCTAAATTTTGTAAAGTGGAATCTCACTTTAAAGAATAAAAAATTGAACCAGTCTTGAAAAAGAGCGACTCCATTGTCAATCTCTAAGAGCGAGTGATTCGTTGTAAAAGTTTTAGGGAAGAGAGATATGTACAATCGAGATTTTTATGGTAAAAACGAATAATCTTTCAAATACCTTCTTCAATTGCACCGTGCGGAAGATGCAAATATCGCAGCAGAAGTATCGATCATCGCGATGCCTTCGCATGTGTCTGCTGAGATCGACCTCGGATGATCGGTCGGCACCGCAGACAGCGCAGCTCACCCTAGTCTCCGGCGCGGAGCCTCTCGCGTGCGCTCGTAAATGTCTTTGAAATGCCTTCTCGATCGTGCATGCGTACGAGCACAGTGAGCATCGATATTCCTCCCTTTCGTACCTGAGAGCATTCCGAAACAATAGCTGACCAAAAACGTGACGATATAAAAAAGAAAAAAAAAAAGAAATATTTTCCATTTATTATCTAATAAAAGTTTTATTTAAAAAATAAATAAATAAATAAATAAATAAAAAGATTTGAGAAATTTTTATTTTTGATAGAATACACAGATATAATTAGGTATAATTAGTTATATAAAATTGTTCGAGTACCTATACCTGACGCGTTGCAAGGCCAACGAACGTTTCTTCCCCGTAGGCGTCATTCCTTGAGCTACATGTGCCGCTACGTGGGTTTCCATCTCGCACCTACTAGTCGTCGTGAAGTCACAACCCGTGGACGGACACCTCTTGGTTTCCCCGGTCTCCGTGCCGGACAGAGCGGGATGGCAATCAGCTATGTGTTTTCTTAGGGCCGGTCTCGTCGGTGCCACCACGTCGCAGGAACCGCACGAGTAGCCACGATGAACGCTGTTTACGTTCGGACTACTGCCTCTCGATCTTAAACCACGTAACATTGTCAACATCGACGCAATAATGATGACAATGCCCAACAATGATCTCTGTTACATGATACGTTTAATCGGGTTTAATAATAATCATAAGTGTTCTTCGGAAGAATGAAACAACTGCGATTGGCCAGTTTTATAATTACGGATGTTATTAAACCCGATTAAAGATGCCATGTAATCAATGTAATCAATGTCGTAATCTTAATATCTATAGTAAATTTTATGAACTTTAAGTTGTGAGAAAACTTAGAGAAAATGGTCTTTAAGAAAGGCAAAGTATTATAATTATGGCTTGATGTGCTAAATTCTACGTACTTTTCAGTGTAGGATGAGTGCTCGCTCTCGGAATCACTGTCGGAAGGAATATTGGGAACTTCCGTTGCTTCTAAAGCCGCAGTGGCGGCAGATAGTCTACCCAGCATCGCCGTGTAAGCACCCAGTACCCAACCGTTTAAAACAGGTGTCACCGTTCCTTCCTGAATATTAACGATAAAAATTGAAGTTCGTGTAAGCTTAAGTAACTAAAAAATGAAATCGAGATCAATATACTATGTATGAAGCTAGAATATCAAAACGATGTATCAAACTAATTAAAGTCAATAGTATAACGATCAGACGTTTCGATTGACTTACAATTACAGTTGTCTTCAGACATCTTTACAGCGTAACAATAAAATCGATTGGACTACATCATAAAACTATGAGATTAATTGCAATTAATAATTAAATATAATCGAAAACGAATAATTAAAAAATACTGAAGAGATACCACGTTATAAACTGCGTTATAATAAGTAAGTATAAAAATATATAATGTTTGGCTTCGGTCAAATAAAGAGAAAAAAGAAAGGAAAATATGACTGTTCGTTTAATGATCTTGATTTTATTTTAGTTAATTATATATATATATAATGATAAAATA